CCGGGGTTTTTTTTTTTTTTTTTTTTTTTTTTTTTAAAGGCTACATGGAGTATGGGCAATAGAAAAACATGTCAGGCTTTCATGCTTGCATTGTTCATGTGCACACAGGTAAACATATAATAGGGATATGCACAGTTGCTGACAATTTGCTATTTGTACTTGATTTTTGCCTGGTAGCCAAGAAACTGGAAACTTTTTTTTTTTGTTAAGCCTGGTAATTAAATCCAATGTTAAGTTAGAGAAATGAAGGAAACAGATTAAGAGAAGTATCTCAAAGTATCTCTCTCATGTCTATTTTCTTGTTAAATATAAAAAAATACTTAGAATTTGTGTGGGAGTTAACCTGGAGCGTACAATACACATTGTACATATTGGCATGTTGGGTGTACATAGTAAAATATCCTTATTGAACTAGTATAGTATGTGAATAGTAGTTGTTTCAGTAGTAGTCTTTTTCAGAAATTGTTTCCATGATAAAAATCACATCTGCACTTACTACTTGTTAATGTCTATTATTAAAAAAATATTTGAGAGCTATATAAACTTGTGATGTTTTGTTTCTCTTTTGTTTCACTTTCAAGTATCCATTTAGCTTGTTGTCCAAACCAATTTTATTTCTTACCTGGAACTTTAATAAAAAATGTATGTAGCCTGATAGTATCAGCTTCAATTTCAAATGTTAACTTGGAGCATTAAAAATTAAGTTAAAAAGAAAACATCTGCAGAACAACCATAGAAGTATTGCCAGTCACCACCACATCAATAGAAATACATTGCAAGATAAATAACATCAGGAAATTGATCCTTGTTCATAACCTGTGCTCAGTTACAGCAGAGAAGTATGCTCAATGTATCTCAGTATATGATTGGATAAAGTTTGTTTAGGCAAATTTAAATGAGTGTGTCAGAGTGACTTAGTTATTAGTTTTGTGGTCTTGATAGAGAAAACAATTGCAGCCATATGGCATGATTTCTGTGAAATGGGAAAATTTATTTTCTTGGACTTTCCCTATCTCTATTAATGGAAGATAGGGAAAACTGTATGAAGGTGACTGGAGGGCTCTGTCCTCAACATTTATTATTTATTATGAATCATTTTATTATAATTTATTCATTACAATTCATTCATGATAAAATACAGCATCCTAGTTTTTCAATTTGATGCAAAATAACAGTAATATTTTCAATTGCTAATATCCTTTCATTATACTCTAGCAATGCTTAATTTGCCCCTTTTAATTTTTTCTTTATTGTCAATCTTAAGAAACAAATGCCAGGAGAGCAGTTGACAGAGGATATGTCCAGGTGCTTTTAACAATTTACGTAGATTGGCACCGCCATGATAGTCGACACAGGCACATGCTAATCCGAAAAGGAATCTTACAATGCATTAAAAGTGTTACAAATATCAAATTGGGAAGGAAAGCCTTTATCGATGCAAATGGAATGAAAATTCTTTATAATACTTCACAAGTGAGTTGAATTCCTTTTTATATTTATTTATTTGCTATCATTGCACATGAAAGTTTTGCATACTATTCAGTTGTTACAGGTATTATTTTATGAATTCTCACAGTTAACTTTTAGAAAACAAATGCTTTATTGTAAGGTTTGAGGCGTAGACTGACTAAATTATTTTGCAGGCCTTAATTTTTTATGTTTTATCAGTTTATAATTTACATCTTGGTAAAGGTATCTGGTACAGGCAACCCCTGCTTAACACTGTTTCACTTAGTGCTATTTCGCTATAATGCTCATTTGAAATCACCCCCTCCCACCTCATATTTTTTTGGCTATCCACTTTGAATAAAAGTGGTTATGGCTGTTGGTGTGTACGTGGGGCATATCCTTGACAAGCACGCATGTGCAGGGATATGCGTTTCCCGTGGGACAAATATGCGCTGCTGCTTTTTGTTCTTGGGCATGCCCCTGCACACACGCTCGGGTGCACAGCAAAGTGACTTGGGTGGGGTAGGGGAGGCTGGGTCCAGCACCTGTGCTGGCATTACCTGGAGTCCTTGTGGCCTCCTGGGGCAGCAGCAGTGCCAAGCTGGCCTCTTGGAGCCTGGCTGGCAGCCAGAGTGTGGCTCTGGTCAGGCAGGCTCCCTTTCTGGCAGCATACACTGTTGTCACATGCACCATGACAAATTTTTTGGCGGCAGGTTTTTTTTGACACTGGGATCTTCTCATGTCAAAAAATAAACCCCAACCACACTGCTGACAACTCAGTGAATAGTTACACATGCACTGCATGTGGTTTGCGGCACCTCAGACTTCTTTGAGGTGCTGCAAACTGTACTTGCATGCTCAGGATATGCCCATGGTGGGTTCTTAAGCATGCCTATGCTTAAGACTGGGATTTCTTGGGATACAGGGTGTTACTCGGACTTGCTTTTGGGCTCAGATGGGGTTTTGGGAGGAGCTGGGCTCCTAGCTGCTCAGACAAAGAAGTTCTGAGCAAGCCCAAAAGCAGACCTACAGGTGCCAATGGAACTCATTGGTTACAAAAAAAAAGGAAGGTGCCTGGTAAATATAACTTCTGAAAAGGGGTTTTTAATCAGTTTGGGGCTTGGGTACCTAAAGTCAGCCTTGGTCCTGTTTTGGGCATTTCAGTCCTCTTTTGGATTTGACCCTAAGATACTAACTTACTGCTCTCTTGTTCTGTGTGGTACTGTGCTGCTATGTCATGAGAATTAGATTTAACTTCTGTATTTGGTTTCATTCCTTGGCTTATCTAAAATGGGAGAA